GCACTCTGCTCTTCTCCCTTGTGCTCCGGACTGTGGACTGTCCCTCGGTGCCCTTATGTCCAATGCAGAGCAATGGGCCCTACATTTTACTTTATGACATCAGAAGGCATATGACCACCAGCGTCTACACGCTGGAAACAGTCTTACAGCCTGGATGGAACCTGTGGGAGCAAGGAATTGGGTGATTTTTCTGGTTCCCCAGACTTAAACAACCCCCCCCCCACAATGAATTTTTTTTTTCCCCCCTGGATTTCATCTTTAAGCACAGCATGTGCTTCTCTTGGTATCTACAGGGATGCATTTCAATACCAGGCAGAATTCTGCCTAGAGTCACACTGGAACCAACTGAATTTATGTGCTCCTTAGCTGGAAAACTGCAACATAATACATACATCAATTACTATACATAGTATTTAATGAATGCAAATGTTCCAGTACTTGTTATTATAATATAGTAGCACAAGGAATTATTGAACTTGTCTGAACACACAATAAAGTTAAAGAAGACTCCAGACAAAAAAAATTTTATTTTTGCTTGGGTTGGAGGCAGTTTCTTTTACTAGGTGATATGTAGCAATCATGTAACTCCTACAAAACCTTAGCAATTTTCCAGTATTTTAGTCAAGAGATTCAGTCACCAACTTTAAAAAATAATTGAAGAAAGCACAGAGACATTGTGTATTTAAAATGCTTACTTGGAGTCTTTTGCTTTGCAAAATGAGTTTTTATTCACTTACAATGTGCTTTTAAACCTACTAAAACTCTTGCTATTTTAAAAAGAATCAAAACTGCCCTCCTGTCATCTAAGAGTGCCAAATCTCTCCCTGTGCTAGCCCAGCTCCTCTGCTCTCCTGTGACCTTCCTGCATAGCCTTTTATGTAGCTACTGGGCCAAAGGGGAACTCTATAGTATGTCACTTGATTGACTATTGAGTCTGCTGACATCACTTCCAAGATGAAGGTACCTAACAGTGTTGATGCTTTGAGAGGTCTACACAAGGGAGGCTTTTACAGATAAATAACATGCCTAAAAATTATGCTGAATGCACATACAATCTTATGGAAAAAGCTTTTTGTTGAATTGGTCTGGTGGCATTGTCTCTTTAAATATAATTATGTATCTTTGATCACCCTCTCAGCTGTACCAGTTCAATGAAAAAAATATTTTAATGAGCACATTTTGGCAGTTTAAGTTGGGATTAAGAATTTGGAAAGATTTAAGAGTGGATATATTGTTGGCTTGGTATTGTAAAATTACATTTATGCTTCCCCATCACAGCAAAAAAACTTAAAAAAAAAAAAAAAAAAAAAACACAAAAAAAGAGAGAGAAGATGTGGAGCCTTCTTTTTTATGCTTCAGCCAAGCCATAACAGTATAAAAGCACACAAATATATAAAATATATGCTACACACATATCTAAAATTCAAAGTAATTATATTAAACACTTTTATACTATATTATATTACATTGCATTGTTCTTGCTGGAAGAAACAATTGTTCATTAGATTCTAAAATACACTTTTCTCTTTACATCCACATACATACAGTATAATACCTACCATTTGTGGCACAAACCCCCCCCCCAAAAAAAAAAAAAAAAAACAGTACACAGCTCTTTGGACAACAGCCAGCCCTGCAGGAGTTTCTTTGTCTTGAAAAACAATAAGGGTCAATAGAAGTTAGTGCAAAAGCTTTTTTAGAATAATACATTGTAGCAGGTAAATTAAAAAAAAAAACATAAAAAAAAAAATCTCTAAAAACAGGAAGGTAATGCTCAGCTAACTTGTATGGTTTGAACAACAAATTCCAGTTTCTTCCCATCCAGGAAAAGTACATTTCTCGCATACACTACATTGCCAAAAGTATTGGGACACCCCACAAATAATTGGATTCAGGTGTTCCAATCACCTCCATGGCCGCAAGTGTATAAAATCAAGCACCTAGGCATGCAGACTGCTTCTACAAACATTTGTGAAAGAATGGGTCGCTCTCATGAGCTCAGTGAATTCAAGTGTGGTACTGTGATAGGTTGCCACCTGTGCAAAAAGTCCATTCATGAAACTTCCTTGCTACTAAATATTCCACGGTCAACTGTTAGTGGTATTATAACAAAGTGATAGCAACTAGGAACAACAGAAATGAAGTGGTAGGCCACGTAAAATGACAGAGCGGGGTCAGTACAGTGTGCAGAAGTCGGCAACTGTCTGCAGAGTCAATATCTAAAGACCTGCAAAGTTCGTGTGACCTTCAGATTACCACAACAGTGCATACAGAGCTTCATGGAATGGGTTTCCATGGCCGGGCAGCTGCATCTAGGCCTTACATCACCGAGTGCAATGCAAAGCGTCGGATGCAGTGGTGTAAAGCTCACCGCCACTAGACTGTAGAGCACTGGAGACATGTTCTCTGGCGTGACGAATCACACTTTGTCTGGCAATCCAATGGACATTTCTGGGTTTGATGGTTGCCAGGAGAACGGTACTTGCCTGATTGCATGTGCCAAGTGAAAAGTTTTATGGAGTAGGGATTAAGGTGTGGGGTTGTTTTTCAGAGGCTGGGCTTGGCCCCTTAGTTCTAGTGAAGGGAATTCTTAAGGCATCAGCATACCAAGATATTTTGGACAATTTCATGCTCCCAACTTTGTGGGAACAGTTTGGGGATGGCCCCTTCATGTTCCAACATGACTGCACACCAGTGCACAAAGCAAAGTCCATAAAGACATGGATGAGCGAGTTTAGGGCGGAGGAACTTGACCAGCCTGCACAGAGTTCTGACCTCAACCTGATAGAACACCTTTGGAATGAATTAAAGCGGAGACTGCGAGCCAGGCCTTCTTGTCTGACATCTGTGCCTGACCTCACAAATGCGCTTCTGGAAGAATGGTCAAACATTCCCATATACACACTCCTAAACCTTGTGGACAGCCTTTCCAGAAGAGATAAAGTTGTTCTAGCTGCAAAGGGTGGGCCAACTCAATATTGAACCCTACGGACTAAGACTGGGATGCCATTAAAGTTCATGTGCGCGGAAAGGCAGGCGGCCCAATACTTTTGGCAATATAGTGTATGTATTGCCAAATCATACTGCTTCTTGTTTCTGACAGTTTGGCAGTAGCACTGCAGAGCTATTACAATGTGGATGTATTTTTACTCCCTGTGATACTAATGTACTCTAAAAATCAGAGATTAAATTTCATTACCTTAGAAATAAATACATGTGTGGGATCTGTTATTTGCAACATCATGGTCAAACATATTTTCCAGATATCAAACATTTAAAAATCAGCATGAATCACTTCTGACAGCTTTTCCCCCTGACTCCAAGAGTTAACGAGAAGTAGGGTCAAAGATCTTTTGGACCTACTTCTCCTGTGGGTCACAGGAGCTTACTTAGTGCTGCACACCTGTGACCAGTATTCAGCTGACAGCAGGCTAAATTCTGTAGTTGGCTGACATCACTGAGCTGGTCCATACTCTGAAAAGATCCTGACTTTAATGTCAGGATCCACCCAGATGCCTGGACCAGCAGCTGGCTCAGGCTCTCAGCAGCTCCCCCCATCCACAGCCCAGCGCTCCAGTGAGCCGGAGACTGACAGTGACACTAAAGACTGCGAACTGAGTGATCAGTGGTCTTTGATTGCTCAGTTTTCAGTCTTACAGGTGGCGGGGAAGAGAAGCAGCATCAGATAAATGCTGCATTCATCTAGGTAACTATATATGTTTTTTTTTTTTTTTTTTAATTTCCAAACTTCTCCAATCAGGACACTGGGACTCTAATCCCCTGCTGCAAGAACCAACAGGAAATCCTTTCCTCTTTGAGTTTTCAGAACAATCTACAGAAGAAATGGCTGAAGGTAAATAGCTACAACTTACACAGAACAATTTGTTTTAATCTCTTTGTATCACCTAATTCAAGTCACTTCACTGAATATATGTAAAAACTTCACAAACACTTCATCTGCCGTATCCCTTTGCAATAACAGTGTCTAAATGGCCAATAAGGGCACTCTGAAATCAGGCCCTAGTTATGAAGAGAAACTAGTTTTAAGGAATATAAAAAAAAAAAAAAAAAAAAAAAAAACACCACAACAGTATTTTTTTTCTGGCGAGGCACAAAAATGCATGGTCATGTGTTACCAAACATTGGGGTATGCTGCAATTCAAGTGCACTAGGGAGTTGCATTGGGGTGCTATTCAAAACTAATGCACAAATGTGTTTTCCTGCAAAGCAAAAATGTGAATAGTCCCCTAAAAACATATAAAACAGATGCCAGGTTGGCTTCACGTCTATTTATTTTTTTTATAATGCCTGTATGATCAACATATTCGATACATGTTTTTTAGTTGTTATGGCCTTAAAAGCTGTCCCTTTTAAAGAAGTAACACTGGCTGATATACACAATAACCATACCTTGACAGGTAGGTCACAAAGAAATGAAAAATGAACCCAATATATGAGTTAGCAATAAGCAAAAATCCCAAATTTCTTCAGAGGTTACTCTTTTGTAAGTCTTCTGTATGGTCAATTTTGTATTCAACTGCAGGTTTACAGACTTGTTAATGACAGAAAAGGTTATTTTCTAAAGTAGCACTTCACAGTTGATGTTACAATATTTGTAACTTCCTTATTGACATTGGATACCCACAATCCTGTGTAGCTCGCTATGCCAGTAAAAGCGCTTTGGATTTTTTCACAAGGGTATCTATTTCCAGTTAAGTAAATCTGGCTACCCTCTGTTGGATCAAGTTTCATTATTAAGAAGACTATGACCAGCAACATACAATGTGCATTTGCCAAGTGACAATTTTTTTAGGATGACATTTTCCAGTTTCGCTTTTGTGCGTTTGGTGTGCATGTATACTATATTGCACGTTAGAAAACATGCAGTGGTAGTTTACCATTTTAATACTAAAAGGTTACATCCATTTAGTACTAAAGGGGACACACCATTTAACATGTTTTTAACCTGAATTGGTAATTGATCAATTTGATTATCTTCATTAAAGATGCTCTCTGAGCCATTTAATATAACCATCTCTTGTTCTAGCACCGGCTGAAAAATAAGTGGGCCAAGCAGCAAAACAGCATGCAGCCATGGAAGCCATCTTCATAATGGTCATGGGTAACATCAATTCCTGCTTCTTCCAGCCTTTTTGCATACATGGTCCCATCATCCCTGAGGACATCATGTTCACAAGTCAGGACATAGGTCTTTGGAAGCCGATTGAGTGTTTCCTTAGGTGCAATCAGTGGAGAAGCTCTGATGTCAAGTAACGCAGGTACATTATGCATAACATTTGGACTACCCACTGTCTGAAATATAGGCTTGAAGTTCTTTTTGAATGATGCTGGTAGTAATGAATCCCAATTCAATCGTTCTCGTAGTGCAATGGTTTCACTTATGTCCAAAGAAGTATGATTATTAACCAGCATTGCATGGGCAAAATCATGACTTCCATTCAGGTAGTCAAGCCAAAATTTAATCATCACAAATCGAGACAGTATTGGCATGTCTGTGTTTTGCTGATAAGAAGGAGTGTTGAAATCCAGTATCTGAAGTACAGGATAGATTAAAGCTTGCAGTTTCACTTTGGTGGTTACACTTTTATCTCCAGTAATCTGCAGGGAATATAAATTACAAATAAATTTACAAAATCTTTACAAAATGGACCACAAAAACCATCTTTGGTCTAAACCAAAACAACCACTTGCTGTACAGCTTTTTGTCCCTTATATAATGTTTACTTGATATTTTCTACCTTAACAGGACAGAAAAATAAGCTCATGTGAGCATCCTTAATCTTTTTCATCCTGCTCTGCAATGACCAGAAATTGGAGCCAGCACATCACTTCAGTAGCATTCATAGAAGCTTCTGACTTTTAATAAAAAAGGACACTTACCTGTCCAGGGATCCAGCACTGTCCTCAACCATCTTCAGGGCCTTGGTGCCGGCATGTTTACTAAGAGAAGCTGGCTGTGAATCCTTGAGCCAGCATCCCACTGTGCATGTGACTGGTCCTGCAGCCTTCTGGGACCTGTGCCCTGGGATTAGGGAGGGCTCTCTGCAGATAAACTATTCTCATCTAGATCAAACAAAATGCTCCAATATGTATTTGCAGTCCAGATCAAACTGAACAGACACTACTCTGAGCAACATTCCAACTTCTACAGATAAATTCCTGCATGAACAATGAGATGGTTGGCTCTCCAGCTAAAGCCATAGATGGTGCCATTTTCTTTCCTGCAGCCGCGGGATGGAATTCCCAATCAACACTGACTATGGCTCCCATGGAGCCATTGTGTTCTCCCCTGCGGGGTGGGGAGCCGTCCCTGCTGGGAGAACATAGTTATTTCTGCTAGCGGCTAGAATAGTCGCTAGCAATAAACTGCATGTAAAATCTGACAGGCTGGTTGTACCCAAAGTGGATCGATCAACTTGGGTACATTCAGCCTATCCATACAAGGTTTATGGCTGGCTTAACTCTTTCTCATCCAGATGAAACTGAATCTATGTTAGTTAGAAGCACCACAGGGGACACAGCAGCAGTCCCTGACATCCCTGTAGGCCAAAGACCAAACACATACCTACATGAAAAGAAATTGGAAAAAAAAAAAAAGGACGTTTCTTTAGGCAGTGGTATCTTGGGAACAGAACAGAGATAAATTTTGAAAGCCTCCTATCTATGCAGCATTCATGTTGTTTCTGGTAGACCATGACAGAGCCTTTTGAAGGATCTTGGGCTAGTTTAAAAATGGTTTTGGTTGTTTATGTGTGAAGCTAAACTCACCCTTTGATGTCAGCTCTTGGGTAATTTTAAAGTCCTGATAAGGGTTTTTGATATTTGGTATGCCACAGTACAGTTAACCCTTGTTCCACCTTGAAAATCTAGAAGCTTGTAACACTAGGACACAAACCTTCATTAATAAAAGCTGAACTCCAGGTAGATATAAAAGGGCCCAAATTAACGCAGCTCTGTAATCATTAAAGGATAAGTTCACTTTTTAAAAGTGTGCATTTACTAGTTTTTTTATTTGGAGCCTGGAAAGCATTGCACCAGCGATCAGCAGATCACTGGTCCATGCAGGTCTCCTACAAAACTGTCAGTGTATCTGTGTGCTTGTACCTCATATGGGCAAGCAGATACACTATGACAGGAAGAATCAATTAACTACCACAGCGCTCAACAGCACCATGGTAGTTCACCATGGTAGCTGTCGGGACTTCAGAAATCTGTGAATGAATGACACAACCATGTGGGTGAAGTCCCGCACAGCCGTGCGGTTTTCAAAAAGTGACAGCCAGTACTGGGAACTTCTCCCTGTACTGCTGTCACAGGGACAGAGGACAGCAGGCGGCGGCTGCAGCAGTGGGCACGTTACTAAAAATGGGTGGAACGTGTAACATGTTCCCAAAGGTGAACTTATCCTTTAGTACACTGTGATAAACTCTAGCACATGGCTGCTTGGTGCTACCCCTCCTTTTGACAGCCTGTACTGCAAGATTCAGATGTCAAATCAAATTCAAGTACTTACACACATCAAAAGCAGATCACAAGGCAAATATACAAATAAATGCAGCTCTGTGTTTTCCTAAATGTATTTCTTAAATGCAAGCTGTGTAAGTACCCAAATGTGACTTGATGTCAGTCTCTTGCAGTCTACAGTATAGTCTGTATAGCAGAGCTCAAAAGAGGGGAAAAGAGAAGCAGTGCAAGCATCCATAATGCTGCAGTGCAAAGAGCATGCTGATAGAGGAAGAGAGCACACTGACCGAGAGATCAGTTTATCAATGTGCTGCTTCTCTGATAAATGTACAGTCACACGCTGGGGGTTGGGAGGGGATCTGTAAGTGAAACAGAGACATGTCCCCTGTGCGGTAGGGCTGTGTAAATCTCAGGAGTGAGCAAACAGATATACAAATTTTTTATATACAGCGGGTAAAATAAGTATTGAACACATCACCATTTTTCTAGGTAAACCTATTTCTAAAGGTGCTATTTTCATAAAATGTTCACCACGTCAGTAACAACCCATGCAATTCATATATACAAAGAAACCAAAACAAATAAGTTCAGGAATTAAGTTATGCGTAAAAAATTTAATGACACAGGGAAAAAGTACTGAACACACTAACTGAAATTTATTTAATACTTCGTACAAAATCCTTTGTTGGTAATAACAGATTCAATTGCTCAGGTGTGATTTTGGCCCATTCTTCCACACAAACCGTCTTCCAATTTTGAAGGTTCCTTGGTTCTCTTCTATGAACTTTGATCTTTAGTTTTTTTCCATAGATTTTCTATTGGATTCAATTCAGGTGATTATTTTCTCTTTCTTTGGACAATTGAGAGTTTCCTTGGCTTTGTGTTTGGGATTATTGTCTTGCTGAAATGTCTACTCTTGTTTCATCTTCATCATCCTGGTAAATGACAGAAGATTTATATCTAGAATATCTTGGTACACTTTTCCATTAATCATTCCTTCAATGATATGAAGTTCGCCAGTACCGTATGCTTAAAAAAAGCCCCACACCACGATGTTCCCACCTTCAAACTTCACTGTTGGTATGGTGTTTTTGAGTGCTGTGCAGTGCCATTTGACCTCCAAACATGGTGTGTATTATGGCATCCAAAGAGTAAAATTTTGGTCTCATCTGACCAGACTATATTCTCCCAGTATTTCACAGGCTTGTCTAAATGTTGTGCAGCAAACTTTAAAAGAGTTTCAACATGCTTTTTCTTCAATAATGGAGTCTTGCATGGTGAGTGTGCATACAGGCCATGGCAGTTGAATGCATTACTTATTGTTTTCTTTGAAACAATTATACCTGCTAATTCCAGGTCTTTCTGAAGCACTCCACAAGTGGTCCTTGGCTCTTGAACAACTCTTCTGAAAATCCTTTTCACTCCTCTGTCAGAAATCTTGCAAGGAGTACCTGCCCGTGGCTGGTTTATGGTAAAATGATGTTCTTTCCACTTCTGGATTATGGCCCCAACAGTGCTTACTGGAACATTCAGAAGTTTAGAAATCCTTCTGTAACCAATGCCATCAGTATGTTTTGCAACATTAAGGTTGTGAAGGTCTTGAGAGCTCTTTGCTTTTACTCATCATGAGAAATTTCTTGTGCGACACCGTGGTAATGAGACACATTTTTATAGGCCATCATTTGAGGCTGAACCAGCTCATATTAAATTTGCAATGACAAGGGGCAGCATTGCTAATTACTGATAGATTCCAGCTGGTGTATTGGCTTTCCATGTGGTGTTCTGGCTTTCCATGCCTTTTTGCACCTCCCTTTCTTCACGTGTTCAATACTATTTCCCTGTGTCATTCCACTTTATTACACATAACTTAACTTATAAACTTATTTGTTTTGGTTTCTTTGTATGTATGGATTGCATGGGTTGTTAACAACATGTGGTGAAAATTTCATATCAATAGCATCTTTAGAAATACATTTACCTAGAAAAATGGTGACGTGTTCAATACTTATTTTACCCGCTGTATGTATTTTATCTGTGTATTTACTGGTTTGCTTGGAGTTTCAGCTTTATTTTCCAATTAAAAAGCCTATGAAAATAAACATCTATTTATACAATTTTTCAGCTAAAAGGAAATAATTTAAGTCTTGAAAATGCAGTCTTAAAACCACAAGGATATCTTAGAAAATACAGTATTATTACTGGTTGTACAAATGCAGCAGTGAGAAACACAAAATTGTTCTGGTCTGCAAAAAATTGTCAATTAAAAAAAAATGGAATACACTCAAAATAAAAGTAATGCAAATCTTAAAGTATTAATAGATTAGCAAGCTATAATACAAGCATTAACTAGAAAAAAAAACACAAAACAAAAAAAAAAAAAAAAAAAGAATTGCCCTATTTTTGGTCCAGTTCGTCTTAAGTGGGTCCCCAGAGACACATGCCCTATACAAAAAGGAGATTGCCTGTGTATTTATTTCAACATTTGCTGTCATTTTTCCTATGACCTTTGCTACAAGGATCCACAATTCTTGTTCTGTGCTTTAGAATTAAAGTCTAAAACAACAGTGCCACATAGTGGTAAAAAAAAAGAATGCTTGTATGTTATAAAAGCATCAACTCATCTTATGTTTGTTTTGAAATATACTGACTCTAAATGCATAGCATGCTGTGGACACAGGATTAAAAATCAGCTACATTAGAGAGAAAAAGGTCAGAAATAAAAGATGGCAGAGGGAGGTCAATGGACCTTGATGAGCCAGCTGCAAATAAAATGGGAATAAATCATGATGGGTGAATTAAGTCCCTGTGTACTGTTTTACTAAGAGAAATGTCAAACAAAAATTGAAGAACAGTGTAAAATCTACCTCTGCTAACAATAACTAGCACACCATATATGCTAGGAGTTGAACAGCAGGCACATATGGTAAAAAAATAAAAAAAAATTAACTTGCAGTGAACAATGCATGTAATGGCAAACATTGAAAAAAAATAAACTGGGGAATTCAATAAAGCATTTATGTCAATCGTCTGGCAGTAGATCCCTTTAACCCTTTCATTGCCACCACCCTAAAGACTTACAAAGGCAGCAGCTGGCTTCTACAGTCCCGGAATGTGCGCCTTCCCTCCCCACCATG